CAGCAGGTGGCTCACGCAGGCCGCATGGCCTCGGGCTGCGGCGATGCACAGGGGCGTGGTGAGCTCACGCGTGTACTCCAGGGTCCAGAGACCTGGAGGAGGGGGGGGGGGGGGAGGTAAGGTGAGTGGGGAGCACCGGTGGAGGCGGTGCCCATTAGGCTGAAATGGGGTGAAACCATCTCTTGAAATTAGGTACCAGGAGGCCGTGTGGGGGAATATACAAAGTCGCAGAGGGCTGGGACAGAGAAAGCCATGAGATCCAGGCTGGCACACAGATGAGGGAGAGGGGGCGGGGGTGTCTAGGGAGACTGAGACCAGAGAGGGTCAGAGAGATACCAAGGGAAAACAGAAGTGTAGGAAGAGGGGCGGCGGAGAGTACACACACACACACACACACACACACACACACACACGGAAATAGAGCAGGGGAACAATGGGGGTGACTGGGCGCCATTGGAGGAGTGAAAAGATGACCAAACAGGGTGGGCAGCGGGACAATTAAAAAAAATATTTTTTATTGATTTCAGAAAGGAAGGGAGAGGGAGCTAGAAACATCAATGATGAGAGAAAATCCTCCATCGGCTGCCTCCTGCACGTCCCCTACTGGGCATGTGCCCCGACCTCCTGGTTCATAGGTTGACATTCAACCACTGAGCCACGCGGGCCAGTCATTGTGGGACAATTTAAGTGAGGAATTCACATTTTCCAGGTTCTGAATGAGGGGTAGCTTAAAGGAGGCAAGTGAGCTGTGGATTTTTCTGGAATCCAGCTCTCTCTCATCCAGCCCCTAAAGTACCCTGTATCATTAAGAGGAGAAGGCAGCAGACAAAACAAACTGACCCACAGCACCCACGTTGCTCAAGAAAAGGACTCGGAAAGTTTAGGCCCCTTGGAAGTGGCGAGTTTCAGAAGCGCACTTTGATGTGGTCGGCCACATTCGGCACAATTCTGGTTTGTTTCTTTGCGCTTTTTAGGGTTTTGTGTGTGCGTGTGTGCGTGTGTATAGATTGCTTTCTCTTGCAGGATGAATGGAGCGGTGCCATACATTTTACTTCTCTGAAAACTTTGGGCTTTCAAAAGGCCCGTGGAAGGTTGTTAGCGGCCAGGAGTGCTCGTGGAAATGGAGGAAGCAGTCCCTGGCGAATACACTTCAAGGGACAGGATTTCACATGGCAGGCATGCCTTCTGATAACGATGGAAGAATCGATACCGTGTCTGTAATGAGCTGCAGAGGAGACCCTTTCACAGGCCACCTCCTTCCTGGGACCCATGCTGCGCAGTTCTGAAAGGCCACTCATAATTACCTTCCTGTCGAGTGCCGGCCGCCCCGCGTCCCCTGGCCCAGGCTGGAGGTTGTTGCACGCTCCGTGGGATGGTGTGGGGGCCTGTGTCCTGGTGGCGGATGATGGTGGCCTGAGGCCCAGGGGACATGGCTGGCACGGGTTTGGACTGCTTTCCCAGTGAAGACTGTGTCTGATTGGGAGCCGGGAGGATGGGTACAGTCCTCGATGACAATGACCTACATTCCTGCAGGGCCAGGCCCCGGTTCTGGACTCCACTCATTTCTCTGCAGCAGGAAACCTACTTACTGAGGGGCCAGGAAGCGGGTGCTTCATTCTCCAGGGCCTGCGCAGTTCTCAGCCCACCTCCTCCTCCCCTCAGCAGCTCCATTCACCTGCCCCAATGCCCAGGTCTTCCCGTGGAACGACGGGAAGGGGCCATGGTGGGCATTTAGCTCAGCCCTAGATTAGGGCCAGCTCCCTTGTCCAGGCCCTAGGAAACGGTGCTGAGCATCTAGCCTTTAAGAGAACAGGGTTCTGAGATGGTTCTTGGGATCAGAAAGCCGGAATCAGCTTCCTATGACTCCCACCCGGGTCCCGGTTCTGCCAGCAGGAGGAACCCGGATGCATGCTTCTCCCCTTGGGCACGTCCTTCTAAACGTCAGTGCCGTCATGCCAGGGCTCTCCTTGGACTCGAGCTGGGATGTTGTTGTACCCAGGGGCCAGCCACTGAGACCCTGCTTGGTGCACCCCCATCCCCCTGGCCCTGGCCACCAGGAAGTCCTCACACGAGAGAGGGCAGAGGTGTGGGGCTGCTGGTCCAGCTGCAAGGGAACACAGGCAGCTGGGCTGGAAGCAAGACTCCAGCGGCCCTGAGCACTGCCCACCCGCTTCTAGCCTGCACCAAGGCTGCGGCAGTACCAGCCCTCTGGGCTGCCCTTTCCCCGCTGACAGCTCACGCCCCTTCTCTGTCCGCACTCCCTATTTCCTGTCAGACAGGTGCACCATAGGAAAACACAGATCTTAGGGCTGGGAGACTAAGGAGGGAAAAGGAAGGAGGGGCAGATTCAGGCCATGGGTAGCATTGATGTCTAGTTGAAATTGCAACATTTGAGCATGCAAGTGTTCAGGACGGGGAGGTATGTGACAAAAAATAAACATCCATCAAGCATTCAAACAGTTGGCATTCTTGATTGAATTGCCACCCAGCCCTTGGCGGAAATGTGCACCCCATCTGGACCAGGTGAAGGAGAGGAGGCCCAGGCTGCTCCAGGGTTCCCTCAGCTGGGAGGTGGTGTGGCCGGGCAGGAAGGCATCCGCCTCCCACAGCCCCTGCCCCCTACTGGCTGCTCTGAGCAGCTGCAACAGTACAGTGGTTGCTACCCGCCCACTCCCCCCACCCCCTGTGAGGTATAAACAGAAGTGAAGACAGCATTAGTGTTGATGGGAACAGCAGGGAACTTTATGGGAACAAGGGTCCACCCTGTGCCTAACACCCTGCTGGGTGCTGTGGGACACGCAGTGGGGGTAGAGAGCATGCAGACCATGTTTGCAAGGAATGCACAGTTCACCGCATGTAGAGGCAGGTGGATACAGAAAACGATGGGCAGAAACACTGGGGGCCACTTCCCTAGTCACTGTCCCCTGCGGTGAAGGCTGCTCTCCCATCACTTACACATCCTGCACTTGCTCTGCTCATTTCGGTAGCAATGCTAATTCTTCGCTATTTCATTTCTCTAAGCATCACCATTTTCCCATGGTCTTTCCCTCAGACTGCAATTAGATCCGTTTCTGAAGGACTTGTCCATACACAGCTATACCTGGTCCAACGTGAGCGTGTACTTCACCTCAAACTGGACATGTCTTTTGTACCTGATACCCTTTGTCACGGGTTATTTTGAGAAGGGCTGGGACACTGGGGTGAGTCCAGGGATAGGAGCCATTCCACCTTCGTTCTACGCTAAATTTAGCTTTCCAAGCACGGTATTTGTCAACAGCACCCTACACGTCCAAGCTGGATTTCAGTGGGTAAGGAGTAGTAGTCCCAAGACACGTGGTTCTTTGTGAAAGCTTTTAGACTAGCTCACGGTAGACAGTGCTGGTCTCACAAGTAGGACGTGTGGATTACTTTGGGAGCAAGGCAGAGGTGTCCTTTTTTAAAAATTAAGAACAAGCATAGCTATATGTGTGACTATACATTAAAACACAAAACATAAAAAATAAAACAAAATAAAAACCACACAACAACAAAAATACCCTCCACAAATACCTGAAAACCAATCCATTCATCCATCTATTTGTTCAGAAAACCAATCCATTCATTCACTCATTTGTTCAATAAGCATTTATGGACTATAATGTCCTAAGTTGTGTTGTTAGGATTCTGAGACAAAAAACAAATAAACAAAACACAACACAAAACAATAATCCTGCCTTCAAGGATCACACAGGAAAAAACAGTGACCTGAGGACCCCAAACACAGGAGATCTTCAGTCTTCCTTTCCATGAGCTGGGCGAGGTTTAGTTATGGGTGGGTAACACTGTCCCCTGACCCAGTGCTGTTGGCTGCCCTCCTTGCCTGCTGCACACCAGGCCTACCCATCCTACCTTGCTGGGATCGAGCCATTTTAATCTCACCTTTCTCATCCTCATCCTTCTAAGCTTAGTCAAAGCCAGTGCCTAGCCTTCAAGATACAACTTAAATGCCATCTTCTCTGCCTACTTCAGTCCAAATAAACTCAACTTCTTCCAAGAACAAATCTGTGTATGAAGTTGCTGAGCAAGTGTTGAAATCTTTGATAAAACAGAAGAAGGAGCAGAAGACCAGAGTTTTACGTTTCAAATTGGAAGAGAACTTGAATTCTCCAAGTTTAAATTGACACCAGTCCTGGGCAAGGTCCCTAAATGGAGTAGGAAAGAGATGGGTTGGGGGTATTTAGAAATGGGAGTGGGGCACTTGGCACTCTGGGGGCCACTAGGAACAAGTCAGGGTGGACACAAAGAGTTTTCTTTTGTGATGAGGTCGCTTCCTAGATAAGCAGAAGGATGTAGGCATAGTCATGCACATTTCAATCTGCAATGGAAGTTTCATGAAAACCTTTTAAGAAGATGGAAAAAATATGGGTCTTTCTTTAGGAAGCACTCGCTTAAAAGCTCACACTGGAGAAACAATACCCATGGCACCTGCGGAGTGCTGGTTCCCACCTTGGCTGTCAAGTGGAATCACCTGCACCCGAACCTGAGCGAGTCCAGTGTGATGGGTTGGTGCGACGGGTTGGAGGGAGCAGCCTGAGCAGCAGGACTGGTGGAAACTCCCCAGGTGCTTCTGGCACGCAGCACGGCTGAGGACCGAGGCGCACAGGGAAGGGTGGAGTCTGATTTCAGCCTGAGCCTGCACAGCATGCTTGTCGATGATCTGAGTGAATGCATGGAAGGGTGGGCCTCCCACTGGTGGGTGACGTGGAGCATGACACAGTCAGGATCCCTAAAGTGCTCAACAGGCCAGAGCAATGGGCTGTTTGCATCAAAGCCCCAAACCGACACTCAAACCACAGGCCCTTGGGATCCTGTTGTCCTTGTGAATCAAGTGGCTGAAGCTGCCACTCGCTGCTGGCACTTGAGGATTCTTTTCCTTGTTTTTAAGCTCAGAGGTGAGTTGTGCTATGGATGTGTTGATGTTCAGACCCAAATTTAGGTGGCATCAGCGCAGCAAATTATTTGACTTTTTTAAAAAAACGTTGAAAGCATGCCTGCACAGTTGCTGGTGTCCCTTTAAGTTCTCTCACTCAGCGGGACCCCGGCTTTGCAAAGC